AAAAAAAAAAGCTTTATATCTGAAAAAACATTAAATATAGCCATTTGTGTGGCCTCTGTTAGTCGGTACATGTAACCCAGCAGGTATTACCTTATAAAAAATTATGTTCTCCCTATTAGACTAATGGCCCTGGAAAGTGAGGACTGTGGTCCTCCAATGCCCAACACAAAACAGAGCACATCATACACAAAACACTGAATAGACGTGAAAGAAGAACTCTATGACTAAACAAGCAAGCAAGCAAGCAAAAACTTCCACGGCACAGAAAAACGCAAAGATATTTTATGGCATAGAAAAACTTTTACAAGTCACTATTCATTTAATCATTATCATTAATAGTTCTACCAATTAGGAAAGCTGTATCAGCCTAAAGAAACAATATATAATTGTAATAAGAATACTTAACATAATGTCATGAATTACGTATGATTTTTGAGACCTAAGTAAAGACTTATCTACCCATGCAAATAAATGGATTGTCACTCAACACATAACAAAAACAAATGTTAAAGCTGAAAAACACTAAGTTATTGGATAAAGCTATTTCTTTCTAACACTTGGAAAAAAAACTAATACTAGGATGAAACCAGTAAAAGATGTGCAAGAACTCTACACTAAAAACTATAAAATATTGTTGAGAGAAATTAAACGTAAGGATTAACTCTACAACCAAATAAAACTAGATTGAACTAGAGTAGTTAAGAAAAGATGTGATTACAAGAAGAATAGACAATTATACCAGTGCAAAACCAGACATCCAAAAATAGGTCCACATATACATGGACACTATTTTTGAGAAAGATGAAACTGCCAATCAATGAGAAAACAATGGTGTTTTCAATCAATAGCAATGAGAAAACTGAGCACCATCAGGGGATGACGGGAGACAATACCTGACCTCGACCTCAATGTGAACACAAAAATCTACTAGAATTACAGTTCTAAATGTGAAAGCCAAAACAATAAAATGCCTAAAAGAAAAAAAAAGTTCTTTCCCCATTGAATTGTCATCATTCACCAAACGTTACAAGAATATTTTCATGACTTATTGGTAGGTAAGGGTCCTTAATAAAGACCATCATCAACAAAAATTGTCTTAAAAAATTAACCTTAAATGAAAAGACTAATATAACAGACTTCACTAAATTTAAGAATTTCTGTTCAACACAGCCTGCCAGGAAAGAAAAGGTATCTGCAACGCATATGTAACTAACAAAGGACTCTAATCCAGAATACATACAGACCCACAAACTGATAAAGGAATAACTCAGAAGGGAAATGCCAAGAGATTTTAGCAGGCTTGTCACATAAAAGAAAGACACACAAAATCCTATGAAAAAGTACTGGTTCTTATTAGAACTCAAAAAAAGATGCATTCAAACCACTTCCACATACTTATCAGAAACGCTAACTTTAAAAGGCTGAAAATGTGTGTGCTGGCAAACACGCCAAGGCACTGCTGATTGGAGTATAATCTGACACACCGCTTTGCAAAATCACGGGCAGGGTCTACCATAGCAGAACTACATGCCCCAAAACAGTAGCATCATTCCTAGGCACACCTGCAACAGCAATATGTGGATGTGTGCACCAAGAAACGTAGCCAAATATGACACAAAAGCATCATTTATGATAGGCAAAACTTAGATGTGACCTAAAAACACATCAACAGGGAAACAGATAAAAACCACACTATATAACACCAAAATGGGTGGGTAGCAACTACACACAACAACATGGATGTATCTCATAAATAACATGGGGCCAAAAAAGCGCCCGCCCTAACACACTCCCACCTTGGTACATTTTCTAGGCACTCTTGCCAAAAATCAATTAACCATAAATTCAAAGTTTATTTCTGTACTCTCAATGCTAGTTCCACAGTCTTGATTACCATAAATCTGAATTCAAGTTTTGAAATAGTGAAATGTGAGTATTCAAAATTTGTCCATCTTTTTCAAAATTGTTTTGGCTACTCTGAGTCCCTACAATATCCATATGAATTTTAGAGTCAGCCTGTCAATTTCTGCAAAGACGTCAACTGGGATTTTGGGAGGGATAACATTAAATCTATAGATCAATTTATGGAACACCGCCTTCTGAACAACATATACTTCTAACCATGAGCATGGGCTGTCTTTACATTTACTTTGGTCTGTTTAATATGTTTCAACAACGATCATGGCTCATTACAGTACTGAATTCCCAGGCCCACACAATCCTCCTGCCTCCGTCTCCCAAGCAGCTAAGACAACAGATGTGTGCCACTGCACCTGGCTAATTCTTTAAATTTTGGTCTATGTTGTCCAGGCTGATCTCAAATCCCTAGCTATATGTGATCCTCTCGCCTTGGCCTCCCAAAGTGCATCATGTCCGGCGCTTATAGGTATTTTTTAAAATTTCATATTCAGACTCTTTATGTCCTTATTCTGTCTTATTTTCTATGGAGCACTCAGAAACAAACTAGATAATTTCAAATAATTATTGGATACTTTTTGTTTCTTCTTCCTTCCCCTCAAGATGAGGGACACCACAAAAGCAAAGAGCCCTGTGTTCTCCTGACACTGCATGCCACGGTGTGAATGCACAGCTGCTTCTCTGACTAGTCACCCACCTGGGATATATGGACTTTCTGGAATTTAGCTACTATGAGTAATGTAGATAAAGACGTTCCTGCACAGGTTTTTTTGTATCAACTTAAATTAACATTTCTCTGTGATAAAGGTCCAGGAGTGCAACTGCTGGGTAGTATGACAGTTACACAGGATTTTTTTTTTTTAAGAAACTATGTAGAGATTTTCCAGAATAATTATATTACTTACAGTTCCACAAGCAATATACAAGTGATCCGTTCCTTCACACTGTTTCCAACATTTGGTTTTGTCACCATGCTTTCATTGTAGCTATACTGATGGATGCATACTGATATTTCAGTTTCAATTTGTATTTCCTGATGACTAATGATGGTGAATTTCTGTTCATGTGTTTATTTTTATTTTTGAGATCAGAGTCTCACTCTGTCACCAGGCTGGAGTACAGTGGTGAGATCTCGATTCACTATAACCTCTGCCTCCCAGGTTCAAGGAATTCTCCTGCCTCAGCTTCCCAAGTAGCTAGGGGTACAGGTGCACGCCACCACGCCCAGCTAATTTCTGTATTGTTAGTAAAGACAAGGTTTCACCACGTTGGCAAGGATGGTCTCGATCTCTTGACCTTATGATCTGCCTGCCTCAGCCTCCTAAACTGCTGAGGTTACAGGTGTGAGTCACCGCACCCGGCCCAAGTGTTTATTTTCTATATGTAAATCTTTGTCAAAATGTCTCTTGAAATCTTTAGCCCATTTTCTAATTAATTTTTTAAAATATTGTTTTAGGAGTTTTTTTATATTCCATATACATATGGTTTGTCGAATACATGCATTACAAAGTATTTTCTCCCAATCTGTATCTTGTTTTTCATTGTATTCACATGGGTTTTCACAAAGCACACATTTTAAACTTTAACAATATGCAATTTATCAATTTTTTCTTTTACACATTGTTCTTTTGGTATCAGGTCTAAGAAATATTTTCCTATCCCTAGATTCTAAATATTTTGTTTTTCTCCTAAAAGTTTTGCAGTTTAACATTTTACATTAAGTCCATGGTCTTTTTATTATTTTTTTTAAACCTCTGGATGCCCAGCCCCATTTGAAGTTCTGAAAACTAAAGCACAGTATTATAAATAGGTTCTGATAAAATTCTGTGATGACATAAAATAATCTTGATAATACAACATTAAGCAGTTAACACTTCTTGTTGTAGAAAAAAATCAATTTGCCTGCACACACTGAAATATACTTTAGTAAAACAGAATATACAAAAATCTAGATTCTTCTTCACATACACCAAATCTTACACAGGATATTATAATTTTAAATACATGTCTTAATTTCTTTCAAATTCAGAAGTTACTTGCAATCAGGCTAAACATTAATAACTAGTAAATATAGGTCTAAAATATATTAAAAATTCATCGACCTTTTCCACTATAATGAGGTCTCCAACTTGTATGTCTGAACTCTTAACTTGCACTTTACCTAAAAAAAAAAAAAAGAAGCACAATCAACTCAAAGCAACACTAGCACACCCAATTCAACTTTCAATTAAAAAATGTCTTTAGAAATAAGCTGCAGAAAAAAATACTTCAGAAATTTCCCTATACTTATACTTTCAGACAGTCACTAATAATTAACTTCTCTTAGTAAACTTCCAAACACAAATAATTATTTATCTCCCAATAAAAACATAGAGGGAGAATCTCTTCATAGCAATTTAAAAGGGGATTCCACTCAGAAGGTTATTCCCATGTTTTGTAATTATTTCAGTTCCAAGTCAAGTTAACGATGATCAGAAATATTACTAAATAATTTGAGCAATGAAACTTAACATAGAGATGTAAAAATCTTTAAGTTAGTATCATAAATGGCATTAATTAGCATATAACTGACCAAAAAGAAATAAAGCAAATTACACATAAAATCACGCTCTCTTACAGTTTTACCAACACAGGAGAGGACTGGAAAAGTTCTACCTAAAGCTTTATTACTAAAAGTGACTTCTCTATGTGAATAAATTCTTACCTACAAAATATCTAATGTAGAAAAGTCACTGATAAAGTTTCACATACACTTAAACATCTACAAAATATCACGTATAATATGACAGACAGTAGATGAATGTTACATACATAATTTGAGACATACTTAGGTAACAGAACAAGCAAATTCATTCCCTCCCTTCTTCCCATTCTCTCTGTCTCTGCCCCTCATTCTCCCCATGCCTCCCCCCACTGCCTTCCTTCACTTCCTCACTCTTTCCCTGTCTCACTCTCTTTTAAGACTAGCAATGGCCTTGTGTGTTTATTTTTACATTTTCATAATTACTCTCCTAACAAGGGAAAATGTTCCTTCATTTTACATTCGGTTTATGCTGACAGTTAACAGGCCAAAGTTCAGTTCATATTATCAAAAACTATTATCACACTCATTACACTGACTTTTCGACCCATATCCAGCTTATTAAAAGATCTTATTTCCCAAATACCTCTTAAAGCAGCTGTATTTCAGTAGTATCACACTGCTCTGAAAGATCTGCTTTGGAGACAGTAAAACTTTTATATGCATTATTTTTTTTCTACATTCCTCAATTACACAAGCCAATAAGGGCTGAAGCTATTTTTATTTATCTTATAAAACAGAAATGCTCTTTAGAATTATGTGTGAAACAAATATTAACAGAGCTTTAAAATCAATAAGTGTATGCCTACACATAACCAGAAAACAGACTCACAAAACATGTCCACTTGAATTCCTATGAACATGGCCGCTCAGACCTTAGGCCTCCACCCACACTGCTACTCTTTTCATAGCAAAGCACGAGGCAGTAGAGATGCCCCACTGACCTAGAGTTCCTACTTCATCACCTAATTTCACTCCCTTTCCTAGCCATCCGATCCACCCTTCTTTCCTTCTGTTTTTTTCACATTCTCTGTAATCAACACATTTTAAAAGGACAGAAAAGGAAAAACTATAGTCATAAGATATAATAAATAATTTTTAAACATTTTGAAACAGAAAACACATCCTTTTTGACTCTGTAACTAAGATCTAACATTTCTGAGAAATTTATTATTCTCTAATATGGTAAGAGACATAACATATTTAATAGTCTTTAATTTTCAGGCATTATATAGTGATTGTGATTCATTTCTATGGAAATTACCTTCAATCACGTTTAAGGAAAAAAGTTTGTGATAAAATACAGCATAAAAAGTTCTCATAAATGTTAATATTACACTATGAACAAAGTATTAGAAAGCTAAACAGAGTACAGTGACAAAATATTACGACCATCTGCCTTATATAGCTGCTGAAAATACACATATTTAAATTGTGAAGAATTGATGAAATTGTTATTAGGTCCTAGCTTCTTGAATAACTTATTTGCTGTCCTCTTTGCCAAAGAACATTTAGGGCACTGGACAGAGAAGACAGGGCAGAGAAGTTGCCACTTTCACACACCTGTCCACCAGTGAAGGCCAGCACCAACTGCCATTTTATGCCATATTCTAACAGCCCACACTTACATTAAGGGTTTGATTGCTGGCCAACATTTTGTTAAATGAGGTGACAACTGATCCTAACAGTATGCTAACACCAGATTTGAGAGAGACTGGTAACAACAGAAAAATCCCTCAATTTTAAGAGTCATTGTGCACACATAAAACACACAACTGTCACCTGGCCTCAATAACCCTACAAAGCAATTAACAACACAAAGATTTTATGAAACAGACAAAGTTTAATAATCTCAGAGTTGCACTTGATAGAGAAGAAATGCAGTAGCAAAGACATTTCAATATAAATGCTAGTATTTAAATCTAATGACATTTTTTTTCTTAAAACTATCCCTATTCAATTTACTACCAAGTGCACACTCAGTAAGTCACATATTATTGGCTTTTGTTTTTTAGTGAACTAATTAATAGTGACTATCACCATGTATACTAGTCCGTTCTCACACTGCTAATAAAGATAGATCCGAGACTAGGTAATTTATAAAGGAAAGAGTTTTAATTGACTCACAATTCAGCATGGCTGTGTAGGCCTCAGGAAACTTACAATCCTGGTGTAACGGGAAGCAAACACTTCCTTTTTCACATAATGGCAGCAAGGAGAAGTGCCGAGCAAAGGGGGAAAAGCTCCTTATAAAACCATCAAATCTCCTGATAACTCAATCACTATCAAGTGAACAGCATGGGGATAACCGCCCCCATGATCCAATTACTTCCCACTGGGTCCATCCCACAACACGTGTGGATTATGGGAACTACAAGTCAAGATTAGATTTGGGTGGGGACACAGCCAAACCGTATCACCAAGTAAGGCAACAACAGTACTTTCTTCTCTCTAAACTATTTCAATTAAATATTTCCACCAAATCTTTATAGCAATAAATGTTCCCTTCCATTATTCTTCAGAAACCTAATAGGATAGGTGGTTTTTTTCTCAGAGGAAAAGCATTCATCTCACACGCTCCCATGAACAAGTTCTATGGGCTCCTCTGAGAAAGATCCAAATGCATCTCAGATAACTACCTATTCTTACACCAGTGATTCTTAAACATATAACCTTCCCACCAACCCCACTACCAGTCATTAATTTCTGCCTGGGTAAAGAGAATATAATATTATAATTTCCCTAATTCCAAAAGAATGAGTTGAAAAAACTAAGGACTGTGTTTCCCCCCAGAAAAAATTCCATTTGATAATTATTTAGAATATAATCACATTTGTATATATATAAAAAAAGTAAGTTCCTCAACACTGACGGTAGGTTAACTGCCAGGCTTTACCAACTGGCTCCTCCATCACTCTTGGCCCCTGCTCTACCTCACCGGAAGCCTCGTCTCACTGGAAGCTTTGTCCCTCCACTGTAGGGTGCCTTCTTATTTGCAAGAGCTCCCAGCACTTGCTCCCTTTGACTGAAATCCCTCCCTTCCCAGACTTACTTACACAGAAAATCTAACCTCTGTGAACCTTTTAATAACCCACATAAACACCAGTAATATTTTATATACACCTGTAAAGAAGGTGCTTAAAATGCTATCAATATTCAAACATCTGAGTATCTACTAAATTTCAGATCCTGTGATAGGTTTAAAGTGTAAGTAAAATACACTTTTATGACATTTAGTTTCTTCTTTCCAAATGCATATCCAAAATGTATCCACGTCAAAGTGAACTCATGGAGACAGAGAGCAGAAGGATGATCACCAGAAGCTGGGAAGGTTAGTGGGATTGTGGGGGAAGCGGGGATGGTTAACAGGTACCGCCATAACACAAGGAGGGAGGCAAGCATTTGCAGTGACGCTGCCTAAACCATCCACTGCGCTGCAGCTATGTCAAAGTCTAGCACATACAGTACATAGACTTGATAATGATAATAAATGACCACATTACTGGTTTGTGGATTTACTATAAATTAATTAACGAAAAGGAGTTTACAACCAATCTAGTCCTAAGTAGTTAAAATGAGTCAATGTCATAATAGATTAAAGCACGAAACCATGTAAGTCCTAGTAAACACAAATACTAGCCACTAAGGATAAAAATGTACTTATATCCAAACAGACACACAAGGTATAAGAGTGGGAGATAATTAAGTAACTTTTATTATTAATTTCTGTCACCCAGTCTGGAGTACAGTGGGGCAATCACAGCAGCCTCCATCTCCCTGGCTCAAGTAATCCTCTTACCTCAGCCTCCCATGCAGATGGGACTACAGGTATGCACCACCACACCTGGCTAATTTTGTATTTTTTGTAGAGATCGGATTTCACTGAGTTCCCAGATTGGACTCAAATTCCTGAGCTCAAGCAATCTGCCCACCTCAGCCTTCCAAAGTGCTATGAATACAGGCATGAGTCACCACACCCAGCCAATACTGGGGTTTTTTTTTTTTTCCCTAAATAAATGCAAGGACAATAATGAACAGAAGGTTCTAATACTTCTAGTAATCAATCATTAAATCTTAATATCCATCCATTAAAGTGAAATAAAGTATAACTTACTTTTCTTTAAACAAATATAGTTGAGATGATAGTTTATCACCTCACATTTAAACTAAATATATATGCTGATCAAAGTAAACAAAACTTAGGTCTCTAAGATTTTCAACTGCAAAAGCATGTAGACTCACTGCCAAATTACTCACAGCCACATGTCTCTGTAGAGATTGAGGGATATCATCTAAATAAGTAAATGGGATGTGCCAATGCCCTAAGTAGGTACCAATAAACATTTTGTGACAAAGTGGCTGAGTGAACAGACTAGGATCCCTCTCCATTCTGCTTGCAAAAGTGCTCTGAAATGTAAGTCAAAAACACTGAGGTCCAGGCCAGAGTCTTCTCATGTAAAACCGCGGCACTAGAGTATGGCAGTTTCTTTGCAGGCCACGACATCCACCTATTTCATATAAACGTTCCTAAAAATAATCCCATGAAACTGAGTTGAACAAAATTACTGTTATCTTCTAGC